CCGGCGCCAGCTGCCGGCCCGCTCACGGGTGGCGGGGGCTGTTCCCATCTGCTGGTGTTCGCTCGGGAGCAATGGAGCGAGCGGCTCGTTTGGAAGTGCAGCCCGGCTGCAGCCAGCGCCACATCCCGCTGATCTCCGGGTGCCGCCTGGGGCAGATGGAAGCGGGAAGGCACCGGCTCCGTGGCGAGCAACCTGCTCCCCAGTGATTTACATCCCACCTGCTTGTTGCTGGCCATGTACAATACACAGAGCGGTGTCTGCCCCCGTCCCCTGTGTTGTTCCTGCCCGGGGATCGGTTGCTTTAGGTGTTGGAGGGTTGTGTAAATGCAAAAATTCACCTGCAAAAGGAGCTTTACAGCGAAAGCAACGACACTTGTGAAGAGCAGCAGCCCCAGCTCAAAGGGTCTTTTGATAAGCAGCTTTTTGCCTGAAACCTGGGTCAGTTTTCTTGAGGAAAAGGGTCCCTCCTGAGCTTCAGAAAGCCTCTTGAGCAGGGGCATTGGCTAATGCACAGGTGCTTTGGGCCTGCTGAAGGGGTTAGGAGCATCCCTGTCCAGGCAGGTGTCCCTGGGGTGCCCGTCCTGCCTCCTGCCCTGGGCTTGGTCATGAGCCCTCCCTTTGGACTGCAAAATCCGGAGGAGGAGGATGCAGCTTGGAGGGAGAGGAGCTGTCTCGTTTTCTAGCCCCAGCCCCTGTCTCCCGGCTCCGCACATCTCCCCCTCAGCCGCCTCCGCTCCGGAGCTCCAGCTCTTAATGAAGTGTTTTCCTTTGTCCTTAGGGAACCTTTCCCACAGCCAGTGCTGCTCCCGCTTGCTCCTTAGCTCCCAGCCCAGGGTTTCATCCTGCGCTTGCTCTGCCTTGGTGCTGGTGCAAGGGGAGGAGGTGCAGAAGGGCCGGGGCGAGATCCACACAAAGCAGCGCCCTGGGAATAACGCCGGTGCTGGGATGTAACGAAGGGATATCAGGGATGGGGGATGAGAGCTGGGGATGTGCGGAACATTTGGAGCAGCAGGGGAGGAGCTCGCCCGGCTGCAGCCCTCGGAGCGGCTCCTGGGTGATCCCAGCACCAGGCGAATCCCTGTGGCCGGTGTCTCTGCCGCCGCTGGCAGGTCCCTTTGTGCTGCTCTGAACAAAGCTCCAGTTTTTTGCAGCCTGGCTTGGATTTTTCCAAGCTTAATTCCCACCCAGAGCAGCTTTCCCAGGAGTTTCAGCTCTCCCCAGAACCTGCTGGGGAAGGAGCTGCCCCGACCTCGTACCCTTCCAGCCACTGCACCCTGTTTTTGGATAACTCCCGCTCGGGGACTTTCATCAGGTAAAGGGCAGTGTTTTCCCTAGTGCTAATGTCAAGCCTTTCACTAGCAGATAATAAATGGCTTTGCAAGCACACGGAGAAGCAGGAAGGTGGGAAAAGATGTGTCACCAGGCACTTAATGGCAAAGCTGGGACTAGGAGGCAGCTCTGATCTGTCCCTGCCACCCTTGGCTCTCAGCAACACCCGCTGATACGTGGAAATTTGGGGTCCAAAATCCAGCCCCTTCCCTGACAGTGTCCAAGGTTCTCCCGGACGCTGCTGAAGGAACCTCCAAGCGCTGAACAGCAGATGGCATCACCGGGCTGGGGCCAGCGGGACCGGCATCTCCGAGGAGGCATCGCGGCCGCTCCGGGGGCACCCTGTGCTGCCCATCCAGTCTGGACCATCCTGGAATGTGTCATCTGGACACATCCAAATGGGATGTATCCTGGGATATGTCATGCATCTCCTCCAGTGCCTCGTTCCCGTGTACGAGCGCTGTCTTTGGGTCCAAATGCCTTGAACCAGAGCTCGAAAGCCACAAGACGGAGCTGAATCCTGCTCTCGGGCTGGCCGTGGTGCTGTAACTGAGCTCCTCGGGGAAGCTCTAGGGACTAGAGTTGCGTTTCCTTTCCCCAGATGCATGTTGCACATGTTTTCAGCAGCTGATGCTTAGAGCCCTTCCATCTTTGAAACTGATACTTAATGGATTCTCCTGTGCCTGCAGGGACAAGGTAAAGCAGCAGCCGGGAGGTCGGGCCCTGTGATCAAACCAGCTCCTTGCACCGGGGCCTTTGATGGGAATTGCCAGCCGTGGTGAGGCTGGATCCCGCGGAAGTTCTCCTGGAGTGAGACGTGGCCGGGAACACTCTGGAATGGGTTGGCTTTTCTGGGAAGAGCAGCGCAGGCAGCCTGGGATGCGCTGCAGAGATAACTGTTGTGAGAGGGTGTGTGCACAGGAGGAAAATCAGTGGGTAAGGGTGTAGATGGACACGCTGCATGTGCAGATACCCTGCTGGGTCAGCACGTGCGTTTGCAGGCATGGATGCATGGGATTTGTGGGAGCAGGTCATGTGTGTTTCCATGGATGAGGCATGGACACCCCAGGTGCAAAAGGAGCAGCAGTGCTGAGAATTCCCGGTGGCCGGGAGCCCCCAGGACGTGACACGCCGGGTCCCTCCATGCTGAGCAGGGCTCTGTGCCCCAGAGCTGCTCCCTGCCAGAGATGATGCTGGAGACGTGGGTCACACAGAGCCTGACGGTGGCACAAAGCCGGGTTGTGGGGACGTCCTCGCGAGTGTCCCCAGCAGCCCAGGGGACAGCACAGCTCGCAGCCTTGCCCGTGTTGCACCCGCGCCTGGGTTTGTCCCGGGCTAGGGGAGCGCAGCACATTCCCATCAGCCGGAATTACCTCCGCTCCGTGCGGAGCTGCAGGGAGGGCCTGGCTGGAAAGGGCCCCTTTCCCAGCTGGCTGAGTCACCGCATGACAAAGCCCCATTTTTGGGTCCCGTTGCTCCTCCCGGCTTCATTCCAGAGTTGCTGCTGGGGCTGAGGTCACTCCTGCTTGCAAAGACCATCCTATCTGCCCTCGCTAATCTGCTGCAGCCTGGGCTTTTCTGGGGGCAATTTCCTAAGGCTGATCGAAGATAAGATTTAGTGACCGTGATTCAGGGACAGGCAATCTGAGTTTGCTTTGTCTCACATCCTGAGGAATATTGGTCTCCTGCTTCTAATGAAACCCAGTTTAGATGCCAGTTCAGTAGTGCAGCTAGGAGACCCACTTGGACCTAAGGAGAAAACCAGATGATGTCAACGTGCAGCTGCGAAACCTGGGCATTAAACTACTGAAGCCGTTCTAGATGATGATGCAAGGGGGATCTTTTAAAAATATAGCAAACAAACATAAAGAGATTGCTGCAGCTTTCTTTCTAAAATAAGTGAGGAAAGTGGTTTGGCTGGGAGAATTGTCAGCAGTCTCAAAAAGGTTTGGTAGTCGTCTGCACTGCTTAAAAATGTATATATATGTGTGTGTGTGTGTGTGTGTGTGTATATGTATATATATAAAGCTGTCGAAATGAGACTTGCATTGAAATAAGATCCCATTTCTGTAGACCAAGAGCTGCTAACAGGGCATTGCAGCAATCTGTATTACTGTCCTTTACCAGCGCTGTCAGCTGCTGCATCTCCCGCCTTTGGGGAGCTCCAGGACAGCCCTTCCAGCCAGTCCAGACCCTCGGATCTCCAAGTATTTTCATGCCTAACAACGTCCTGAGCAGCCCAGGCTGCAGCGGGCCCAGCTCCACGTGCCTTTATCTGT